AAATCAAAAAATCTAACCAAACTTGCAAGGTGGCTCTCTGATACCAATTGTTTGGTTTTTATTCAAAAATTAGTTTCAAAAACTTGATTTTAGCAACGAAAGACTTGAGTAGTTTTGAACAATTATAAACTAGTTATAACTAACCATGGATCTTTTTTCAAAGTTTGGAAAGAAAACAAGTACCAAAGAAAAAGAAGAGTTTAAAAACCTTTGTTGTTCTTTGGGTTCTCTTGGGAGGCTTGGAAGTTAATGAAAAATATAGAACCTTTGAGACACCAAGATGAAGCTAAGTTGATGTAGATGCTAGTCAAAAAGTCTTAAGCTTTAAGTCCATATCCAAATATGACTTAAAGAGAGAAAAATGCAAGCAAGTAATCTTCTAAAACTTCTTTGCAAGAGAGAATATGAAAAAGTATAAGTGAGCTTTGGTTTTCGTAAGTAAAAATGAAGGGATGAAAGACTTAATAAAGCTAAATCATTACCTAAGGGTTCTTAACACTTTAAGGACTTCATATCCTAAAAGCCTACATGCTTCCCATGCTTTTTAAGTCATTCTTAATTTTTCTATGTCTTATTTCCTAGAAAGTAGCTCATCCTTTTTTGATAAAGAAAAGAGAAGAAGTTTATAAAATTCTTATAACTCTTTATAAGATATAAACATTAACTTTTAGCTAAAAGACAAAAGAGTCTTTCTAGTCCAAAATAATTTACATGACTTAATGAATCATACCATACGATATATATTATGTTAATTGCAAATGAAAATCAATATTTCCATGAAATAAATAATTTCCAATTAAATATAAGAGTTTATTGAATATTTATTAAAATCAATTTCTAATACATAATCAATTGTATCAAGTTGTTGTTACTTTAACCCATTATTATCGTATGTTAATTAGAAATATCACTTTAATATGATTCGTGAGCATACTAGATATTTCAAATTATAGTCAAGGTCAACGTCTCAAAGAGAAATCAGATTCATCGTGTTGTTGACCTGAAGTCGTGAAACGACAAGGATGGGAGTGGGTTTGACCAAAATCAGAGATGATGGAGGTTGTGACAGCCGAAACCAATGATAATCTAAATGGGGGTGATATGACTCAACCATGTTGGTGAGGGCCGCAGTAGTCGACGATGTTAGGGTTGGTGGGGCAAAATGAAATTAGGTTAAGGAAATATATAAGGGAATAGAAAGGAATTGCACGGATGAAAATTTGGAAGGAGTATCGCCCAAGAACCAAAATATGAGGAGGGAACTCGATCTTTAATGTTGTAGCCTAGATGAACCAAAATATGAGGAGGGAACTCGATCTTTAATGTTGTAGCCTAGATCTGAACGCACCAATAAATGTTTTTTAATGCACTTTCTAATATGCGTTCCAAAAATATATTAAATAGTGTGGTTCTATAATTTATTAGACCCGACGTTATGCTCGAGGGAAGGGCATCGGGACCTTTTCCCGTTCACCGCAACACCGCATTAGGATTTCGGGAACACTGGTGCGGTGAGGAGGTGGGGGAAGGGGTTGTTACAATCTCTCTTTTTCTTTTATTAGCCGGATTATTTTGTTTTTTTTTTCAATCTAACCGTTAAAAAACGTTAATATATATAAATATAAAAAATATAAAAAATTACTTAACGGCTAGATATAGGAAATTGAGTTTTTAAATTTCTTTTACCCTCTACAACATCTATAAATATACACACTCTTTAACCTTCAAAGTCACACTTCCTTCTATCAATTTCTCTTTACTTTCTTCCAAAAATTGAATCCCAACAATTAAACCCCAACTTCAATAGAAGGAAAAAAAAACCAATGTTTTAAGTTCAAGCACCCTAACTCGAAACATTTTCACTATCGATTCATCTCAAGGGGTTTATCGTCCACAACTTGATGCTAACTTTCAATTTCCACTACAATTTCAATATCAAAATACCCGATGCAAGTTCCAAATGTTACTCCAAGTATGTTATCAAACTTTGTTAAATCAAACCCAAACACAACCCTCTCGATCTCAACCAAAATACCAAAGCATCGATGAGTCAAATGAAGAGATTGTACTGGAAACTCAACCCCCCCCCCCCCCCCAACAATGCAAAGGAAAACAAGTGAATGGAGGGTATCACACAACCGGGAAGACAGAAGCTGCAAGCATGGACTCCACAAGAAGAGATAATTGCGGTAAAAGCTTGGGTTGACATTTCATAGGATTCGGCGACGAGAATTGCACAACCGGGGGATCATTTTTGGTTTCACATTCTTAAGAGGTTTCACAAGGATATGGGAAAAGGTGACGAGTACCATACCAATCATCAATTGAATTCAAAGTTTCGAGAAATAGCGAATGTCATATAAAAAACGAACGAGTTGTACAACAACCTAAAAACCCAACAGAAAAGTAGCCAAAGAGATGAAGAAATATTTCAAGAAGCTTTGCATTTTTTCTAGAGGAAGTGGGAAAGTCATTCAAGTGGCACGATTGTTGGAAAATAATGATTAAAAGTCCTTGGTGGAAAAAATACAAGCAAGACTTTATACTTGCAGTACAACAATCAAAGCAAACAAGAACGGGCTCTAGTGGTTACACAACTTCCTCCGATGGCCAGTCTATATTTAAATGAGGAGGACGCACTTGAGCTAAAAGAAATTGTCCAACTAATAGATATGGGCAAAGAAAAAAAAAGGGAAATGGGACTTCTTCGGGTGCATCAGATTTCAGCATAGACGCAAACGAAATGCAGAAAATAACGGAGACATTTGATCGATATAATCTTAATTTCGTTGAATGTTTGTTTGACGTTCGACAAAGAAAAAGAAGAAGCAATAAAGAAGAAATGCACGGAAAGACATAAAATGGAGGATATGAGGTTTTTCATAGAAAACACTGAATATGCCAAAATATTTTCCATAGTTGTTTGTTTTTTTTCTACTAATTTAAATCTTAAGTTTTTTTTATGTAATTTTTATTTTTAAAAAAATAAAGGAAGTTTCCACACACGTCCTGATTTTTGGTCAGGAAGGTAGGAAAAGAAAAAGATGTGACAAAAGGAGAGGGAAGGTCGGGAAAAGAAAAAGGGTTAATGACCTAGAAAGGTAACGAACTTTGGTCTTTGTCCACATTTAGGTAACCATGTTTTTTTCGTTCACATTTGACCGTTTAACTTATTTGTCCTGTTCAAAATAAGATAATATGACCGGTAATTAGCGGTAACATTACCCTATTATGAATAGGTCAAACAAGTTTACTGGTTAAATGTGTACGAAAAAACATAGTTACCTAAATTTGGACAAAAACCAAAGTTCCTAACCTATTTTGGTAATATTGGGTTCTTTATGTTAAGTGCAAGTAGTTATAAGATCCGTTGATGTTAAATGAAATTGGGTTGTTCGGTCTTGTGTATGAGGAGATGGTTAAGTCTTGGGCCTACCTAATTTAGGCTGAGCTAGTTAGGGGTTAGGTTGTATACGCTTAAGGGGGCTTAAAGGGCTACATTGTATGTATTTTAAAGACTGAGCAACACAGCTTAGCCCATGACTAGCCGGGACTAAACTACGTTAGACCACGCCTAACCTAATTGTTCATCGACTGTCGGAGCCTAATCCTAGAGCACAAAGTTCCTAAAACGGTTCTTGTCCAGTATTACCAAAACGGGTAAGAAACTTTAGTTTTTGTCTGTATTTAGGTAACCATGTTTTTTTTCGTACACATTTGACCAATAAACTTGTTTCACCTGTTCATAATTGGATAGTATTACTGTAATTACCAATCATATTACCTTATTTTGAACAGACAAACATGATCAATAGTTAAATGTAAACGAAAAAACATAATTACTTAAATATGAATAAAGACAAAAGTTCGTTACCTATCTAGATTAACCCAAAGAAAAATGAGGCAAAAGTTTAGGTATTAATTCGAAATAACTTTTCTCACCTTAATACAAAACAACCTTTTAATACGGTTGATGGTCAAATGTGAATGAAAAAACATACCTATACAAAGGGCATCCATCAAAGCCTCTAGAAAGCATCAAAGCCTCTAGAAAGCTATGAAGCTTACCTTCTTTTTATTAAAAAGGATTACTTAAATATGAACAAATCATTAACCCAAAGAAAAATGAGGCAAAAGTTGAGGTAAGATTCCCTATGTACCCTCTACCTTAATTCGAAATAACTTTTCTCACCTTAATACAAAACAACTTTTTAATACGGTTTACCCTTGCGCTATGAAATACGTTTTATACTAGTGGATATATGCAACGAATAACTCTCTAGAACCATTAAATATTTGCCGATGCCACGACGAAATCTTATTTATTATGCTCCTTATTGGAACATTTGTGTATACGAGTAAGACGGGTCATTGACTTATGAACAAAGACAAAAACAAAAGTTCCCTTTCTTTCTAGGTCATTAACCCAAAAAAAAAAAAAAAAAGAGTCAAAACAACTTTTTAATACGGTTTACCTTGCGGCTATGAAATACGTTTTATACTAGTTGATATATGCAACGAATAACTCTCTAGAACCATTAAAAATCTTATTTATTATTCTCCTTATTGGAACATTTGTGTATACGAGTAAGACTGGTTATTGACTTATAAAGACAAAAACAAAAGTTCGTTAGTCATTAACCTAAAACAAAAAAAAAGAAAAGTAACAAAGGTTGATTCAAAATAACTTTTCCCGCCTTAATAAAAAATAACTTTTTAATACGGTTTACCCTCGAGCTTAATACTAAATAGCTTTTTAATACGTACTAGTGGATATATGCAACCAATAACTTGCAACCAATAACTCTTTAATACGTACTAGTGGATATATGCAACCAATAACTCTCCAGAACCATTAAATATTGCCAATGCCACGACGAAAATCTTATTTATTATGCAACGATTAGTCGTATACCTTATTGGAACACTTGCGTATAAGAGTAAGACGGGTCATTGACTTCATATCAAGACGAGGCATGTGGTCAGTGGATCTTGGCGTTCGACTAAGATTCATTTATATATACATCGTCAGCTTATCCATCTTACCAAATAGCACACGTATACCAAACATAAAAGCAAAACAGAAAACAACTGCAAAAACTCAAAGCTCCTCATCCCAAGAGCGACCACCTAGCACGACATTTTCCTTAAAGTCGTGTGCTTTCTGCCTATGAGGTTCAGCTGCCTCCTCGTACTTGTTTCCCATCGCCTCTTTCGCCGACTCCAAACCCTCTCCTGCTTTCTTCTTCGTCGCTTCGTACCCTCGTTTTGCTTTCTCCTTGGCCCACTCCAGACCTTCTTCGCCACCCTCTACCACCTTCTTCGCCACCCCTTCTGCACCTTCTTTAGCCTTCTCTGCCACCGATCCTGCTCCTTCTTTTGCACTGTGCACCTTCTCGTAGGTAGCATCCTTCACTGATCCTGCGCTTTCTTTCGCGTTCTGCAACTTCTCATAGCTCGCATCTTTCATGGAGCCTGCACCTTCTTTCACACTTTGAGCTTTCTCGTACGTCGCATCCTTCATGGATCCTGCACCTTCTTTGGCCTTATTGAATGCCGCATCTGCACTTTCTTTAGCCCTTTGTGCCTTCTCGTAGGACGTGTCCTTGGCAGACTCCGCCTCCTGAGAAGCTCTGTTCTTCAAATCTCTGGTCCTCTCACCTGCATTATGCATCATTTCTTCAGCTTTTTCCGCACCATATTCTCCGGTTCCTGTCGATGAAACGTTCATCATTTCTTGTTTCTGGCTTCAACTAATTGATCGGAAAAAAAAAAGTAGTAAAGAAAGAAAGTAACCAGTAATCTTATCTTTGGCAGACTTGGCGGAATCAATGGTAGCATCGGACGCTCGGTGACCAGCATCCTTGGCTTCCTCTGAACGGAGGCCTAGACCTTCGGAGATTTTGTCTTTGGCCCACCCAGCCCACGAATCTGAAGACTCTTTGGCGTCCTTACCAGCTTCTACTGCTTCATCTCCAGCATGGGCTGCTTTTGTTTTGGCTTCCTCATACTTTATCTCGTCGGCTGTTGCCTTGCCGCTGCATATGACGGCCAGTAACAACACCACAACCGCCACGAACACCACGGTGGTCTTCTCAAATCTGATAGCCATTATATCGTCGATGAATTTATTGAGTATAAGAAAGAAAGAGTGTTGTAACAAAGTGTAGTGGATGGGAAGAAGTAGAGAGGAAGAGGATATATACGGGCGACATATAGATCGAATTGGCGGTGAAAGATACACGTGGCAGAGAGAATGTATTGTGAGATGACACGTTTCGAGATGTGAACTGCCACGTTTGTCCATAAAATATGGAATAATATATGCATGTTATCAAAACCGTGGATCTAAAGTTTGTGTTCTAGTTTTAAGATTTTGATTTATGTCAACTCTTGAAAAATTGTAATTTTGTTTATGAGTACCTGATGACGCATCAAATTAAAGGATCTAACACAAAAGAAAAAATTACAAACTGTAGTTTTAGTTCAAAACGAAAAGTTGATGAAATACTGCTTCAATTTTAGGAAAAAATTATAAACTCTAGTTTTAGTTCAAAACGAAAAGTTGATGAACTACTGGTTCAATTTTAGGTACATTGTGTGGTTTTGATTCTTATGATTGTATTTTTTTGTGTTTTTGATCCACATCCCATCTAAAATGATTAATACGCCCCTTAAATAATTATATTTTAATTTCTTTTCCTACCAAAAGATCAGTCCAATAATACCACTCACTGGTAAATAGCGCAATACTTCTTCGTGAATCTCCGCTATTTGAATATGGAACATCATAACAACGAATAGGAATGAAACGGCTATAGCTCCTCCTCCATTTAACAAGCAATTTAGTGGTTGTTCAGTCTTGAATGAAGCTATTTGGACAGCGGCTTTGATAGCGCTTTCTCAATGAGAGAGATCATATCGTGGTAGAGCTCCTATCCGTGCTTTGACAAATCCGTCTTTAACGTCATCTACCCAGCGGCAAGACGATTAGTTTAGTCTCAAAGGGAATGCTTATTCCCCACTTGGCCTCAGAGACCGTTTTTCAACTGTCTGAAAGATCTTCCTTTTGATCCTCTATCTTAGTCGACTAGCTCTTATGAGAGATCTAAAATCTCTGAAATCTCCCCTGGCAAAGGGGAAAGAGACGATGGCAACGCACCTCATACAAGAGAGGGGGGTGTTGGGGGGGGGGGGGGGAGTCCAAAGGGATCAAATAGGAAAGGATACTCTGAATCATAGAACTCTAATGAAATATATGATCAACCAACATTTATCGAATTTGAAAAAGAGTCAGAAGAGATGGTTTGATCCTCTTATTTTTTTTTCTCGAACCAAGAGATCCATGAATCGGGATCCTGATGCATATAGATACAAATGGTCCTAATGAAATGGATGCGGCGGTAGCTTGTCGGAAACCCAGAGTCTTTACTTGATCTAAGATATGTGATGTATATCCTATTCCATAGTGATTAATAAATCGACTAATAAGTCGTTTCATGGCAGTTCCGTCTATCACTTTATTGTGAAAGACCTGAGTGGGCCGTTCTACCATCAGTACCTCCATATTGCGCTGAACAGCCTTGTACGTACGCTGCTTACGCGAAGAAGTTATTCTCTAATTCCAAAAAGTAAAGCCTTATTTGATTTGCTGACAGTTGCCCCTGATTATCTTGTTCATTCCTTATTTATTTTCTTATTCTTATAATAAAATGAAAAATAAAAACAAAATAAACTCACATCTCTCTCTCTCTCTCTCTCTCTCTCTCTCTCCCTCTCTCTCTCTCTCTCTCTCTCGTGTTATCTTCCTAGTTGGAACCATCAGCACCATAAACAAATTCAAACCCACATCGACACCACCAAATCTTCTGCTTGAATCGTGGCTTCACTGGCGTCGACTTTGCCGGAGCAAGCTTTTCCGATAGAGGTTCTTCTAGTGTCTGCATCTTCATCTCCTATGCCTTGAAGATGGTTGTCATCCCAAACCTCCATCTTCGCCCATTTCCTTCTCCACCTGCATCAACCTTCACCCAGATCGATGAAGTTGTTGATAGCTGAGTCGATTCACCATAATGGTGCTTCCTGGTGAACTTAAATCTGAAAATTGAAGTACACATCGAAATTTCCACTAAAATTGAATCTGAAAATCATTTTCGATTTGGTTTCTCAACCTTAAACATTCTTTCTCTATACCACTGTCTCTTCCTCCTGTTCTTTTTAATTTCAAATTTTTAACATCGCCACCATTATCAAATGACCTTCCTCCTTGCTGAAAATGAGACCAAACTCTAGCTCCGACCACCCCTGCTTGCTCTATCTCTCTCCCGTCCCCATTTATATGTGTGGATCTTAAGAACCACAAAACCACCAATAAAGTTAAAGTTCCCTCATACCATTATTGTTATCGCCAAATCAATTTATCTTCCATCATCGTTGTTAGTATTCGATCTAGGGGATGTCGATCTAACCTTCATCATCGATAAGAACAATAGTTTACAGGGGTAATGTTGGAAATTTTTTAGGGTTACACAATGGGGGATTTGGGTGGTCCGATGAAAAGCAGAGCTCCTTTGTCGAACAAAGCTAAGGCGATAGTGGTGACGGCAGAAAACCCTAATCGTTGAAAGATGGTGGTGGCGATATTTAGGTAGGGACAGATCCAATTGATTACAAGGGCAGTGTTGATAGGGAAGTTTTATCGGCCATGGTGAAGGAAAGATGGGGGTTGAATGTGGGATTGGATGTTTATGGTAGACAATGTTGGCAGTCAATGGTGATGGTGGTGAACGGTGGTAGCAATCGGTGCTGATGGTGGCGGCCACTAGTAGTGATATGTTCTTTCTTGGGTTCGTGTGTGCGTTTTTCTAGAGAGAGGGAAAGAGAAATGGTGGGTAGACCCCTTTTTATTTTATTTTTTAAGTTAAAAAAATATAAATAAATTAACATATGTGTTTCAGTAATTAAAGAAAATTAAAAACATAAGTTTATAAGGGCAAAATTGTCTTTTCAAGTGTATAGGAAGCAAAAACAGTAGAAAGATCTAATTTTGGACCAATGGTAAACCTACATTTTGTTGTGTACAAAAAACATATAAATTTGTCAACCACATGGACCATTTTTACAATTTTGTCAAGACAAAATTACATGTCTAGTCCTTCAAGCTTAAGTTTTATCGTATCTTTTGAATTTTGTCTCTCTCTCTCTCTCTCTCTCTCTCTATATATATATATATATATATATATATATATATATATATATATATATATTAATTTTAGGTTCCCTTAGGAACAGTAAAGTTCCTAAGGGTTTGATATAATTGGTCCTTCTATTTTGCCTATTAACCATTTTGGAATTTCTTTTTTATGTTTCTCTTTTTAAAAACTAAATAAAGTTCAATACATATCAATGGAATTGCCTGGTTTTTTCGTAAATTTGCAATTTCGTCACTTTTTATGTTATTTGTATAGGGTAGATCATTCCTTCTCGATCCTTCTGCACCGCCATTCTTTTCTGATCCATTTACTCATTCCATCGCTTTGAACTTACTCCACGTCGATTCAGGTCCAGAGCTACCATCTACGTGGTGTTTTTTCCTCTGAGCTTCTATTGCCCACGCAGGAGATAACATCGACAATATGTTAGCTATTGAATCGTCTATCTGCTACCACCATCAGTATCTGCCGCCGCCTCCATCTATCTATCAACATCACCTAATTATATTGGTTACGAATTAGACCCTGAGAACTTGAAGAGGGTGGTGTTCACTACGGTTTCACATGCTACGTAGGCTGAAACCGCACTCCACTCCCTCTGGTCTCAGCCCTTTTGACTACTACGTAAGTTCGTTTTTAGTTACTTTAAGGCATAAAAAATAACCTTATTTTCGCAATATTGGAATATTGGATTAGTCGGTATGCGAAAGTTGGTTTGGAAATCCACGTTAGGGAAGCTCACTTTACAAAATTAAAAATTAAAAAATAATCAATTCAGAGTATTATTTTGTGTATTATTTTGCCGTTAAAAATGTCACATTTAAGGAATTGATAACTTTTGTTCATTTTCTAAAAGCTTGTAAATTCCAACCCTTTTAATTCTTTAACTATTTTGACACTTTTGATCCTTATAGTGAAAATTTTTACATTTTTTCATAAAAAACACAAAAAACGGTCCGGACCGAAGCCCGAGTTTTTCCACTAGTTATAAGTATTATCGTATGCCTTTAGTTTTTGCATATTATGTTTTTTTTTCTAATTAAGATGTTCTCTTTCCATTTTTTACGGTTTGCAACAGTAAAATTTATGGTTCCTGATAAAAAGCAGTGTTGCAGAAATCGGCTTTGGCGACCGATTAATTGTTTGACGGCCAGAGAGCGAATACGATAATAGTGCTTGGCAGAAATCGGTCAAAATCGGGTTTGACGGTCCTTGGCAATCCTCGATGCTCATAGGCGGGAAATATTTAAAAAATTCAAATATTAAACTAAAATTTTAAATTTTTAAGTTTTCAATTTTTAAAATATTATACTAAAATTTTAAAAGTTTTAAACTTTTTAGAATTTTAAGTTTTCAAATACTTATATTTTTTGGATATATTAATTTTTAAATAGTTTTATTAATAATTTAGGGTCCCCGATTAATCGCTTAACGTCAGTCGACCGTCGAACAATTTTTCATAACCTTGATAAAACGTTAAAAGATAAGTTCAGTATCGCTGTCTTAAACGAAGTGAGGTTATTTTCTATAATGTACGCCTAAAATCTTTCGAGAAAATTTAAATATGAGTTCATTTTGGTAGGATCTATCGATTTCAATCCAATCTTATAATCATGATCTTGCAAACGTAAAACAATCTTAGGTAAGATCTCGATCTTGACAACCTTTAACCAAATAGATGATAATTAAACGTTACAATTAGGGATGTAAATGAACCGAACTTTACACTAATCTAGCCAAACTATTTAAAAATTGCACAAACTTGAGCTCGAGATCAAGCTCTTTCAAGCTCGTATCATCAGGCCCGAGCTCGGCTCGTGAAATGTTATAAAAAGCTCGTAAAAAGCTCGCTAAAGCTCGATTAATTATATAAGTTTTTTATTTTTTTCCGTATTTAATGATATAAAAAAATATAATATATATATATATATATATATATATATATATATATATATATGATAATGATTGTTAGTTTCTCCATTCTTCGCAGCAAGTTAATTTAAATCACGATCTTTTGGTGCTAGTTTTTAATATTTGTTCGTTCGTGACATGTTTCGGTTTAATAAAATAAGATTTTGTGTTATCAATTGTTAATTTGAGTTTTGGTTTTAGCCTAGTCATTTGTTAATTTAAATTTAATAAACTGGTGAATTCGCATGCTAGTCTTGTTAGGGGACGTTTGAATAATAGGGGAAAACAACAGAGGAGGAGATCGTTGAACTCCAATCGGGTGATTTTATGTTGGAAAAAATAAAACTTGTTTGTCTAGCTAAAGCAAAGGGTTTTCTTACTCTTCCTAATCTACATATGTTATGTTAGGATGAGGGTTTAGATGAGTTCGAGATTTGATAAGTACGAGGTTTATGTGTCATGGTTGAATTTAAATCTAAAGATGCTTGCAATAAATTCTTGTATAATTAGGCTTTAGATCATTCGATATTGGATAAACGGGCTTGGGATAGAAATTTTGTGACTCCTAATCACATTGTTTGGCTTTATGTTGAGGTCATCTGCTACGTGCTTGTTGTAAAGATGTTTTTCGTATGATTTTTGCAAAATAGAGATCTATTATGCATCTTGATGATGATCTTGAGGAAGATATGTATAAGAATCGTCTGTGTGTTTTAACCACATATCAAGATATTATATCCGAAGTTGTCAAGATACGTGTGGATGAAATAGTTTTCTTTGTTCGGATTAAGTAGGCTCTTGGTTGGACTCCTTCGTTTTCTTCTGGTGGTTTTAATGTCGGGATATATGATAGTAATAGTCATGATAATTTTGATGCGGAAGGGAGTGTTCCCTCGTTTCAAGATAAGGTTGATCTTACTTCCAACCTGTTATGAATTTACAATACTATGGAGAAAATGAAATATGATGAGGCTAAAAATCAAGAGAATGTGGGTTTTAGCTATTAGGGTTGTGGGAAAGCATTTAATTTTGATAAAACAATGGTAGTTTGGTAATTTTTCAATGCACAAAAAAGAGTTTCACATGTAGATAACGCGATTTTGGTTACTGTTCAGAACAGTGGGCCTGTCACTGCCACTGTTTCGGTAGCAGCACAACCTCATGTTGGTTTTGTATCTACTTGCCTGATGCCTGCTCATGGTGTTGTTGTAGATGTGACACCATCTCCTATTGTTGTGGTGTCGTCTATGGATCAATCCAAGGCCCTCTCGGTTCCTTCTTGATCTCCACCAGCAGCTGGTAAGGGTTTGTGTGGGATTAACAGTGTTTCCAATCAATGCAATCAGCCTAAACATATTGGTTCTTGGGTGGTTTCGGTAGAGTATCGAGGGTATATGATTCTGAAAATTCTCTTCTCATCCCCCATGTTTTTCAAGTCGGTTTTAATCTAACTTTGTAGTAAATGGATGCTTCACGTTTTGGTCTTTTATTAATGAATTTCAAATAGATTAGTTTAAAAAATGTTAAATTAGTTTAAAAAATGTTAAAATGGGCGAGACATTTGGATATGACAAGATTGGGTGCCATTCTTGTGTTTCCGATTTAATTGAAGGATAAAGGGAGAGGCATAGATATCCATGAATTGTCTTTCTATTAATATTCAAGGAGCATATAACATGGATAAGAGGGCATTGGTTAGATCTTTATGTCATAAGCATGAGGTGAATTTTTTGGTGGTTCAGGGGACAAAAATGGAAGTTATGGATTTGTTTTCAGTTCGTTCATTTTTAGGTAATATTTCTTTTTTGCATGCTTTTTCTCCTTCTCGTGGAGCGTCAGGTGGGACTTCATCTATTTGGGATCTTGATCGTATCCACCACTCTCGTCTTGTAATTAATGATTGGTTTGTTGCGGTTGAGGCTGTTGATACCGCCATATTTAGTCTTACATTTTAGGCGACGTCTTACTGATTTTAGCTGCATTTTAGTTCTTAATTGTGATAATTGATACTAACATCCCAAAAATACCCACAAAATTTTCATATTTAAACCATCAAATCCATACAACCATTTGTTCAAAACCAATCAATGAAAAATGTATTTGTCAAACATCAGAGTAATACAATAACAATCAATGCGGAAAAGCCATCAGGGGATGATGTGCAATCTATTCTGGCCTTTTCCTTTGGATTGGATGTACCTGAAATAGTTTAAACCACAAAACTGTAAGCAGAAAGCATCGTGAGTTCCCTAAAATACCACATACCATACATATCAGTGGGCCCAACCCTACGTGAATGCTATGATCCAACCATAGTCTTACAATCATTCCTAGATTGCAACCCAGTCGTAACCTTTTTGTCATGATCCAACAATGGTCTTCCATGCAACTCACAAAGGCAAACAAGTGTTGTGATCCAACCATAGTCTTTCATACAAGTGTTGTTGTCACATCTTCCCTGACCAATGGCGGAAATGCCTAGTGGTGACGGTATTTAGATTAACCAAATCACAAAGCGCAAACCATAACTATCTTTCTTCGAACTGATAATACTTCCTTGCCTTGTTCCTTATTCCATCATAG